AAAAAAAGAAAAAAAGAAAAACAAACAAACAAAACCCCAAACCCAAAACAATAGCCTATTGTTTCGACTAGACCTATTGTTCTGTTGCATTTTTTGTTATTGAAAGAACCAACAGTCAGTGAGAGCTTCCTGAGGAGCAGCAGCTTGAAAAGCTAAATGCAGTATCCTGTGCCTAAGGCTTGTTTTGCTGCAGATTTAGGAAAAACTGGACAAGGTAAGTTACTGAGGTAAATTAGAGCACACTGTTTAGGATTTAATTTGTTTGAATACCCCCTTCAAATAGAAAACACACTGCAGTTTTACAAGTATGGTGGTTAAAACCTGCAAAACGAAGCAGAACAAAGCTCTGCCCTGTCACATCCTTGCTTGATGGACATTCCTCTGTTGTTACTGGGTGTTGCATACTGCCAGGGACAGGACAAGAAAAATTCTAGGTTGGGAGCCAGCACAGCAGGAGGATTCATTAGCCATGAACAGAAGCAAAACAGGGTTCCAGAAGGAGCAGTGCCCTTGCTGAACAACCAGCTTTACCACAACAAACACAAAATCAGCTGGGCAGCCTATAACACACACTTTGGATAAACAGAGACCTATGGATATGAGACAGCTCTGGCTTACATGTTTCAAAAGGTCTTTGCCCAACAAGGAAACAAATTATATATTAAAAACCTTTTACAAAATACACGGTCTGTTCTTTCTCTGCTTAATATCTTCCTTGCTTGGAGCTTGGCTCTTGCCCAAATGCAGCCAGAGCAACACTTGATGATAACTCAAAAATGTGCAGTTAATCTGTGTGTGGTTTTTTCGGCTCCTGAATGCCAGGAGTGAAAGTGTATTTTTCAGAGAGAAATAGACTTGATCACACAGTATAATAATGTTTATGCAAGTTTTTAGATGGCCAAGATAAGGGAAATAATTCTGTAAAGTCCTTTGAGAAAAGAAAAAACCTCTAAGGTGGAAAACCTTTATCTCTTTTTCAATGTTGTTTTTATCCACAAACAAGTATAAGCCCCAGTAGAGAGCTTTCTGCACTACAGCAAGAAAAACTTTAGCTTTCTTTTATTTTCTCCTTTTTTTTTTTTTTAACCTTACAGCTATATTTCATCATAAAAACTAGTTTGAAGAGAGAGTAAACTTTTGCTCTTTGGTCTATCTTGACATTCCTCTTGAAAAAGATAACAGGAATATTTCAAATTCGTTTTTGTCTCCTATTTCCAGGAAACAGGAAAGTTGCAGTTCTTAATTTCCAGGCTTCTGAAATGAGAAAGATAAAGAATTTATATGTTGAAACAAGACATCTTTGCTTGCTTTAAAGAAAAAAAGGAAGCATTGTAACCTAAAAGCAGTGTTTTAGTGAAATTTTGTGCTTTTGCCATAACCATAATAAACAAAAATATTCAATTATGCCACATGCACCTCCTATTTATTACCTGTGTAACCCTACTAGGTGAGAAACAAAAATCTGTACTCGCATTCCAGTATGATATAGGCTTTAGAGTGTATGCTATTGTAGTAACTGCTGCTGACTGAAACCTAATACTGTGGAATAAGGCTGTAAAAAGTCAGTTTTTTGTTTCATAGGATCAATTTTGTGGATGCAAAGGAAAGGTCTTCAAACACCTTCTATCCATATCTGAACGAATTAAGATGAAAACATCTAACAAAGAGTTTGCAGTTTTAGGACATCAGTTTTGGTGTCCTCCCCTCATAGGCTGCTTTACGGCTGTGAAGATGCTCGCAGTCAGAACTCTGGGATTCCTCTCGCATTCAGAAAAGCTCTGAGGGGGGCAAAATACCCGTGCTGTGTATTATGACCATTCTGATGCTCTGCCAGTTTTGATGAGGAGGTGAGTGCAAGAATCTATCTGCAACTGCAGACAGCCATGGCCTTACTATATCACAACCAACCGAGGAACCCCCATCTACCCAGACACCCAAAGCCAAACTGGCACAGTCAGAGCAGGCACCTGCTGCCGCTGATTAAATCAGAGGGATCCTTAGAGCTCACAAGGATCCTTAACAGACTTCACCTTTGCAGAGTGGGTCAGGCTCATAAATTTTCCTTGCTGCGCAAATAATACTCTTTTTTTTATTTTCTTCCTACTGGCAGACTTGTCTCCATGTAAGTAAGTCTTATTCTGACTGGTGCTATCTACAGATAGATCCTAAGGAAACAACTATACTTTTCTTTGTGTATGAGCTGGGCAGTCTAATTTAAATAGGATAGGGGCCAGTGATGAAGAACTAGCCAGATTCCTTTGGGTTAATTTTCAGGCATTACTGTTTCAGTTTTTTAATACAGCACATTGCTCCTACAGAGAGACTGTAATATCGTGTGTCCATGTATTAGCTATTTGTCAACAGAAAAAAACCAGAGCTGACTTTTTTGAAAAAAGATTTTGGTTGTTTGACTTTTTAGAGTATATTCTGATGATCAGTAATCTGCAATTTTTTCTAAGAACTATCATCTGCTAACAGTTCATATGCAGTGAAGTGGTGGAGAAAAATTAGAGAGGCTAATGACATCCAACATTTCAGCTCAGCAAGAAAGAGCCCCACAGAGCTACCCTAGCAGCAGGAACTTTTGCCTGCATCTCTTTCACAAGTCAGTCTCATGAAGCTATGCATTGCAGAGGAGGATATAAACTGCACAGTAAAACAACTGTTCTTGGCTCTGCACGCATGTTTGTAATGAAACATCTGCAGCTCTTCCACAAATCTCTAAATATTTTTCAATTACCACATCTTAAAGTTTTGAATCAGTCCTAATGAGTTGGCACAATATCATATTACTAGAAATTTTACATTGTACACTAATACCCTAGGAAAAGAATTCAAACCAAGTGGAAAAAATACCCAAACTATCCCTCGATCTGCCATCATAGAAACAAACCTGCAAATACCTCAAAATGCAGTATCAGCTACAGTGTGGGTTCACTTCAGTGAACATGTGAAAGCAAAGAATAACACAACTTCTCTACAGAAAGTTGGGAGTAAAGATTATACAAGAATATTGTTTCTCTCTTTATCCAAAGTGAGAAATGTACAAATCTAGCACATAAACCGGATGAATTATAGAGCTGATGAAGACTGACTACCTTGTGTGGTGCTCACTGGGTGTTACAATACTCTTGAGGCATTCATTTAGATTGTTAAAGGTAGGAGCACCGGTGAGTATGTGCCTATATTGATGACAAATATATATGATCAAGCTGGTTTTTTCTTTAAAAGGCTTGAACTGAATCATTCATTTGTCTGATGGCACCAATACCTCCATAGTGAAATTAAAATAATTTGTTAACAGTTGGATATATATGCTATTTCCTACCTGACTCTTATGTTTTTGTGACTTTGTTAGCATTTAATTTTACATCTGAGAAAACATCACCACTGACTAAAAGCCAAGCTGAACATTTTAAATTCATGCACAACTCCCAATAAAAGGCCTTCACAGTTGGAATGGAGTATTTAGTCTGCTTAATTATCGTTGTTCTTCAAAACTCACCAATCCATGGTTTGGATGGATTTGTGTAAGACTAGGCAGTAAACGCCCGATTAAGCAGGCTATGTGAATCTGCATATAGATTTTACATTAGGATTCTACAGTCATTTCAAATGATTCAGAAGTAATTATATGACTAACACATGATGAATCAATACACATGCATGAAGCCGTCAGATGTAATGCATATCAATAACAAAAATGGGATATATGCAAAGAAGTGGTATGTGCAACACTACCCATCAGCAAAATAGTCAGTGATGGTTTGCATAGAAGCTAGTAATGAATTACCTGTGCATGCTTGTTAACTTTGAAGCTAACTGCTTTTTACTTGTACACATGAAATGGCAGAATCTGCTCTCACCAGATACCATGTGAACGCTGTGACATTCAAGTATGTGCAAGTGAACAGTTAGCTTGGTCTGAGTGGTAAGCTCATTGGGTTGCGTGAACCTCTCCCCTCCTCCAAACAACCCGTCAAAACACAGAAACAGAAAATGAAAGCTGCTTCTCTCAAGCCAGAGTAGGCAAGGGTTGCTGGAGCAGGGCTGAAGCGCCTGGGCGCATCCACCTCAAAGCTGTGGCTGATCTGGGGTCCCATCACAGTCCTATTAGCTCATAGTAATATTGTTCTGTGTAATAGTAACCGTTTTACTCTCCAGACGGATTTACTGGGGGAAGGGAGAGTTAAGAGTCCCATCACAGACACACATGGTTTGTTTCAGTCAGGGTTACATCCTCTCTTATTCCATTTATTATGTTACAAGGTTAAAATGGAGTAGCATGGAATATTTTCATAACAACTTGGTTTTTTAAGTGCAGAACATGTGCTACACAAAATTAAAGCAGGACACCAAGAACATTAACTGCTTAAAGAAGGGGAGGAGGTGGCGGGGAATCTGCAACCTTCAAGGAAAAGGGAGAAAACCCAGCATGAAAAACAGACAGGCTAAGAGGACAGATTGTGTTTCTGAAACGCTTTTTACCATTTGAGAGAGATGACAGCAATCAAGATTAAAAAAACATTGAAAAACAAAGTAAAGCTCATGAACAAGCTGAGAAATATAGAAACATCTCTCCTGATATCTAGGCAATGACAGAAACACACTGCCACATGAGTATTATCAAAGACGAACTAGATTATTTCTTTTGAGGCAAGTAACATGACAGCATTTCTTCAGACTGACTTTTTCCGTAGCTAAGAGCGGTACAATTGCAGAACCAGCTCCTCATGGCAAGCTGACAGAGCCAGGAAATGCAAAAGGCAGCATCAATGTGCAGTATCCGTGTACAGCAAAAAAGCGCCGGCCGCCAATCAGCAGATAAAAGTGCGCATTATGAAATATTCGCCCAACTGCCCACAAATAGTGTGGTGTGCTCAATGAAACTAGGGCCTAGATAAACTCCTGACAACCTTTTTTATATATATACTAGAGACAAACACAAGCTGGAACAGGGAAGTAAAGGCTCTTGACCGACCTGAACTTGGACATCATTCTCAAAACAATCCTTTCACTTGCTCTGTGATAGGGTCGAGGTCGATGTCATAGAAGCATGGCCTCGTGGGCAGTCCTGGCATGGTGCTCATCTGTGGGAACAATAAAATGAAGTTGTACTCCTGCACCTGTATGCAGATCATCACCCATGTAAAGCTTAGAGTAAGAGAAAGGCTGGATTGTTCATCATGGACTCAACCACAGATATGATCTTCACCACATTTTTTTGCTTCTGTTAAAAATGTCCAGCTCGGTACTTTTACAATTAATTTAATTTTTAAGCGTATGCTTCTAAAAGACAGGAAAGAGACAATAAAAGCCACAAAATACTGGCCAGCACAGTAACCTTAACAAAATGAAGACACTTATTTGTTCCTCAGAGTATTTATCCAGAACATTTATGTGATTTTTTGGGGGAAAAAATCACACCAAGAATGGCAAAGACATAACTGCCCAGATTCATCTGGTGATATGAATGTGTTGAACTCAGACCTTTCCCCCAGAAAACAGGAGCTGAATTAATCACAACACTTTCATGACTGATTGCTTAATGTAAGGAACAAACTGAAATAGTTCAACTAAACATACATGGATTACACTTGAATCCTAATTTAGTAGTTAGAATTAACAGGTTGAGATATGAAGCTAAAGCAGCCCAATTATCTCAAACTATGCATAATTAAGATCCTGATCTAGCATAAGACACCAGCATCTGCATGCTTTTAAACATGTAAATAGTTGCATAGACTCAACAGTTACAGTTACTCAAATTACAGTTGCCTACAGGTCTGCTCACGCTACTTACTTATACTATTATTTACAACTGGCATTTTAGCAGCAATTAAAGACATATGGGTGACGTGGGAATCTGGAGGTGCTGGGCCACAATAGCTCAAGCCACTTTATATCAGAGGTACCCCAGGTTCTCACCTCCCCTGCCTCAGGACTCCCCCCTTCTCCCTCGCGCAGGAGATGTCTGGAGAGCAGGTCCAGCAGAATAATGCTATTTTTCAATCATCTGCTTCATCTTCTCCTGTTTCAGCACTTGAGCCAGGAGGGGCTTCCCCAGCCCCAGTGCCAGCACTGGCACAGGGTAAAGGTGGTGACTACGGGGCAGTTTTAAGGCAGGACCAGTTTGGATCAACCTGAACCACTTTGGATTCACACCCCAAGTCTTCCTAAGATGACAGTTAGAAGCCCTGAATATCTCACCACATTTCCACTAATCTAAGGCACTCCAAAAATAGCATTTGGGCTTAAGGACTCCCTTTTGATACCTTAACCTCAGAGGTGGAGGATGGACCTGTTATATTAGGCCCTATATTAATACCCAAAGAGATGGAAGACATTACAATCTCTGGAAACAAACATGGGGTTCAGCTTAGCTCAACTGTTGGCTAAGAGCCTTTTAAGCATTAAAACTTATCTAATAGATGCTAGGTTTTGAGGAACAAAATTTTAGCTGAGGCAAGTCATCAGGGCTCGTTAAAGCTGATGGTTAATCTGCAGGACCGGGCCACCGGCTGCAGGGGTGCAGCCAGCGCACACCATGGCCAGCCACCACCTCTCAGCAGAGAGCACAGGGCCAGGCATCTTCCTCCCTCTGCCTTCCCTAATTCCTCAAGAAGCACAGCTCAGCTACGCTGTCTTCTCTGGCCAAAGGCAAGCTCTAACAAACAGGCTTACTGGCCTCAAAAGAAGAAAAATACACAACCACCATCCCAGCTCCTGCAGAGAGCCAAATTTACAGGCCCCTCTCGGGCTGGAGCAGTCTGTACTTCTTTATAAGTCAACCTGTTCTGCTGCATACTCGGTGATGGAGTTAGTTAGCATCTCCCTTACGCTTCATCTTCGCTCCGAACGCTTGTGTAATGCTTCCATCGTGGGAATACAAGCAAACCGTAAGATCTCTCCACCACAGTCCCATTTACTCCAGAGAGCTCTGCTGCCGTTTCAGAGGTTGGTCCCACGTTGGGAAGGAGGAAAGGAGCTCAGGGAGCTCTGTAGCAGCCATCATCTCACTTGAGATCTAGCTCTGAGAAAAAACAATGCAACGAGCTCTTCTAGTGGACTCAGTACATTTCCTCTGTTTTTAAACATAGTCCTTCCTGATCTTTTGTTATTGCACACAGTAGGATTAAAAGACAGTTAATGATTAAATGACATTAAAATGCCACTGATTGCATGACATCATTTTATTGGCTGACATCCTCTTGGCGTCTTAGCTAAGTACTAAAACACCTTGTTACTGTTCTTTACCTGTTGGCCACACTAGTTGGACTACAACATCATTAGGGTACTGAATTATTTTCTCTCTCAAGATTCATCCCAGTTTCTGAGTTAATGCTTGACAAGAAACTGCCTTAATGAATTACATTTCACTGGGAGGGGAATGAACAAATTGCCAAAGACAACTTTCTGGTAATTTTGTATATGGCAGTTCTACATCTGACAGTAAACTCCCAAATTCCAGGTTGTCTTTTTTTTTCTTTTTCTTTTTTTAATATATATGTACAAGCTTGACTAGTCTTCATTTCCCCTGAGAGGAGTTTGTTTTTTTTCATAGGCCCAGTTCTACGCTGGTGTAACTCCACTGTGTTAACCAATGGAAATCGATTATATCTATAAAACGTGAATATCAACCCAGTTTATTGCCAGTTCAGGGAACAAAACTATTCTCATTTTGAAAATTTAAGTCCGCAAAAGGGAATGAGTTCATCTGAATTAAAGTTACTGCTGTGTAAAATGAAGTACAAGACAAAAAAACCCACAGAGGAAACACTTTGGGATGAACACCTGTGTGAATTACAGAGCGAAAATAAAATACATCCTGGCATTTTCCCCATGGCCCAGACTTCCAAACAGGCAAAGCCGTGTAGATTTATGATCATTTCTCTCCGCTCTCATTATTTGGACACACAGAGGTAACACGCAGCAGAATCCATCCCTTTTCCTTACTTCAAGGTCAATAGGAGGAGACGGCGGACTGGCTGAGGAGCTTACTACCGATTATTCCCTCGCCAGCCCTCCATTTCTTTCCTGCAGCCAAAACTGCAGGAGGGAAGAGAGGGCTCGGTCGGCTGCGAGGCTGAATCGAGGCTTCAGAAGACTGGCTTTCCCCATGGCTGTGGGTTCAGAATGATCCTCTTCCCTCTCGCTGTTCTCCACGATGCTGAGTGAAGGTATTAACCATCGAGTTCACAGGCTGGCCTTAACTGCAGCAGGCATGACCCAGAAGCATCCCTCTCCCTCTCCAAAGTAACCGGAGCCTAGAGTTTTGCGCACGGGGAGGGGGATGCTAACCTGCCCCCGGCTGCAGCACATACCGTACTGGCACAGCGGCTGGCAGACTACCTCCACCTCTCCAAGGCCTTCTGAGATAACTACTTACTAAAATGACTTCATTTCTAAAACTTGAAAAATGGACAATGAACACTGAAAGAGAAAATATGCCTAAAGCATAAATCACTTTGGTAATAGCAGGTATGTACAGCATGAAAAAAACCCCCAGAAATTTACAGTCATACAGCTGCTTGCTAGGCATCCCATACAATATATACCCTCTATATATTGTACGGAGATCAGCAGAACTCTCCACTCTAATGTAACAACATTTGGGTTATAGATTGGTAGCTACACAACATCACACAACATGACTGTGAGAAAAGAGCAGGGTAAGAAGCAGTGAATGACAACACATTATCCACTTAAGACCACAAATTGAATTTAGATAGCTGAAATAATCAGTACTTAATTTGACCAAAACTGTTACTATCACACATCCCCTGGGAGAAGGAATATATAAGGCATAAACTTTGCACCTTAAGACTTAATGCAATTCATCTGAATGCTTTGTGGTGGGGGTGGGAAGGGTTTTATGAAGAATTCATCCAGCTGCTGCCCAAAATACATAGTTTAGTAATTAATGGGAACTAGTTTTGTAGAAACTCCCTGGAATCAACCATTTTCTTTGCAAACTGTGCAACTGCCTACACATCCATGAGAGCAAATGAACTGCAGGAAGATGATGTGAAAAATCCAACACCTATTTATTACTATGGCACTCACTCTGTATTTAGGAGGCAAAAGCAGCAAGTCTTACAGTCATATATCCTGGGGATCATTTATGCTCCTGGAAATGCACAACTGGTGGAAGATAAATCATAATTTTAGTTAAGAAAGCCTGAAGGCTACTGTTATTTATACTAGGCATTTATGATCTTCCAGAAGTTTACTTGCATGACTAAACAAAAAAACATAAGGAGCTTCCTTACAAAAGGAAGATGCCAGTTACTTTTAAGGAAGCTATATGAAAGTGCTGTTTCATACCCTCTTCAAGAATGTATCCACTGTCACTGGAAAAGTGACTACATTGAGCTTCACTGGAGCTTCATTTAAATTACAGTTGTGTGTTGACTTGTAATTTTAGTTGGCCATAAGGTCTATGTAACAGTTGCACAGTCAAGCACTAAGACCCTGCTAGCCAGGTTTGTTATGGTCCCAAGAGGAACTATGCTGTTTAGTTTCCTTTTTTATCATACAGATGCCTACCAGTGGTTGACAAGTCAAGTCGTGCCTTTTACTTCAAGTGTGTATCCATCCATCCATCCATCCATCCATCCATCCATCCATCCATCCATATATCTCTCTCTCTTTATTTTTTTCATTTCTCTATATGAAAAATCCTAATAGGACCTGAGATCACCTTAACTGGGTCAGCACAATGGCATAATTTGCAAAACAGACGGTCCTGAGGACTGCATCCAACTCATGGTTAGCGTCTTTTTCACTTATAAGACAAGCTGTGTCTGTTTTACAGGCATAACATGGTTTCTAATCAGAGAAAGAAAACCAGAGGAATCTGTACTTACACAAAGTAGGGAAACCAGACGATGAGAAGATACCAAAAACATCAGCAGCTTATTGAAGAAACCTCCCTATTCTGTGGCTTATGGAGTTAATATAGCATTTGACAAGAAGTGCAAGTAATTCACATTATCTAATTGTATCCTTTTGTTAATTGAACAAATTAAGACAACCCGCAACCATTTCAAACCTGAAATACTGCAGAAAACAGATGTTGTTTCTCAAG